CTTTATAAGAAGCCAAAGGATAAAAATTGAGAACTTGCCATATGAACAACTCACTTGAAAGAAAACATAATATCCAATGAAAAAAAAAAAAGAATGCACGGAGAAGTATTAGGTCAGCTTACCTCCAAGGAGTTACTATCCGCCATTGATAAAGCTCTGGAGTAAGAAATGCAGCAAAGAGTGTAGGGACGAATGCTTGATTAAAAGGATTATATATTTGTAGGGGCATTTGATGAATTTAATGGTCTTAAAACCATGGCCGTGATTGCTAAGACAGGAAAATGGTGCATGACGTCGTAGGGATGCCGGTAGGCAGAAGGCTTTGACCTGAAAGAGTGAAAGTTCAAATTATCACCTGCAATTCACCTGTGTAAACGTTCAGTCGGAATTTAATGGTATTGAATACTGAAGGAAAAGCACCAAAATTATCGCTTATATCTTATTAGTGGTGTCAATTTCGGGTCACGGGTCGGGGTTCGGGTCGAATCCGGAATTGACCCGGGTTCAATCGGGTCGACCATAATCTGACCCGGGTAGGCAAACGGGTCGAGAACTCGGACTTGGACCCGACCCGTCGGGTTGCCGGGTTGACCCGACCTGACCCGACACGGGACACGAGCTTGGGCGCACATTCGGGGGAATGCGGGGCGCGCGGCGGGTGCGCGGCGGGTGCGCGAGATGCGGGCGAGCACGCGGGCAAGCCGGGTACGCGTTGGGTTTTGCGGCGAGAACGCAGGGCATGCGGCGGTGTGCGGCGGGCAGAGGATAGGCCCGGGCGTGTGCGCTGTCGTGGGTAGCCGCGGGCTCGTGCGCGGGCAACGACAGCTATGCGGCGCGGGCAGTCTCGGGCAGGGCTCGAGCATCATTGGCAACCACGCGGTGGGGCAAGCCTTGGGAAGCTCATTCTAAGCGGGTTTCCGGGTTGACCCGCCAACCCGTCGGGTCAACCCGAACCCGACCGTTTTTTTCAAACGGGTCGAATCTGAGAACTCGAACCCAACCTATTTTGAAATCGGGTCGGCTCCAACCCGAATTCTCCGGGTTGGGTCCAACCCGAAATTATTAAAAATCTTTAATAAATTTATATTTAACATTAAATGTTCAACAAATTAAAAAAAAAAATGTCTTCCATCATTAAAATTTTAACTTAAGGAAAGACCTCAATTTCAAAGTGAAATTTTCTTATTTTTATTCATTTAATATATAATCTATATACTATGTTTCTACTTTTTAGTTGGTCAAATGAATTGATAAAAAAATAATTTTAAATATTTAATTATTATATCATTAAATTAATAATACTAATTTATCAATGTATCCTTCAAAATTATATTGGAAGATTTAGGATTATTTAGAAGTAGAATCGAGCAAATAGATGCTAAACTTGAGATCAAATGGAATAGTTTCAAGTCAATTATGTATTGAGCTAAGACCATACCAACTAGGGTCAAATCATGAATAATGGTAAAAAAAGTATCATAATAATAAATAAGAAAATAAAAAAATTTATACAATATTTTTAATTATTATTGAATACTTACTATTTATTTCTTATTCTTGGATGAATTGCATAAGACCATTTCATTCTCATAATATATTCTTTATTGATGATAGATATGAAGTTAGAATTACATTTGTTACCTTATTGTGGCAAATTGGCCTAAATGATAGAGATCGGCACGACGGGCGGGAGCAAGACAACGGTTTCATTTGGTACAGCTTTTTTACAACTTTTTAAAGCAATTTTTTAGTACAAAAATTAAAATTTGTGCACTAAAAAACGGTTTTAAATAATAATAAGAAAGCCGTCCCAAGAGAAAGGCATATAGATGGGCGAATGGTGGCTAGGATATAGGTAGTAAAAATACAAATAAAATGTGGCTGTTTAAATCGCTATTAAAAAAGATCTTTAGTGAGGAATCTGAGTTTGGTCAAAATGATCCTTTCAATTTTTTAGAGTCTCCTGAACCTGTGGGTATAAATTCTTTTGACCAAAGCATTAGTGTATATGGCCTGGACTGTATAGGCTAGTGGGATGATTAGTTAGCTGATGTAAATCTTATCAAAGTAAAGAGTAGTGAGGCGAGCATCATTCATCAAACACATCTATTTGACTTATTAGGATGATAAACCAATCAATTTGATAAGCCAATCATAAAATACTTAAATATTGTAATAGGAGGTTTAAGTTTTGTTTGGGACGGTTTTATTACTGCTTCTTAAAGCAACTTTTTAGTACAAAATTTTAATTTTAATTTTTATACTAAAAAGCTGCTTTAAGAAACAGTAAGAAAGCCGTCTCAAACAAAGCCATAAGCTTCATTTGGGACAGCTTTCTAAATCAACTCTTTAGTTCAAAAATATTTTGTACTAAAAAATTGCTTTAGAAAGTAGTAAAAAAAGTTGTCCCAAATTAAACATTAGGCTTCATTTGGGATATTTTTCTTACTATTTTATAAAACAATTTGGTACAATTTTTTTTTGAAAGCAACGAAAAAACTATCTCCAATGAAACTTAAGTTTATTTAGACTAATCTAAATCTAATTTAGATAAAATATTCATATATGTGTGAGCTAAAATTATTTATGCTAATATGTCAATATATAATGTTGATATGTCATATCCATGATGGCAAATATAGAAAGTAGTGTAAATAGAGTAATTTCAAGTAGCTTAAATAATTGTAAGAATATAGAAAATGTGACCACTTTGTTTGGGTGGGGTGAGATGTAATGGTGATGCTTTAGTGCTCTTAATTAATTTTACTACTCATTCTAGATTGGGTTGGGTTAGGTCTTAAGCAGCCCAAATCTAGTGTTAGTCGAGCCCAGTTAAGTTTGATTCCATGGTTGAGCTCATTTGGACCTATTTGAATTAACTTGGGTTAATTTAAGTTCATGGCTTAGCTAAATTGGTCCAGTGGTTAGTTTAGGTTAATTAAGACATGTCTAGCTCTAAGTAATTAAGTTTGGATTAAACTTATGAGCAGAGCTAAAATGGGATATTAGGGACTCCTATCTCCTCTAGGCCAGGCAACCCAAAAATTTAAGTCATAATCTTTGAATTCATCAACATTTGTATACTTCTTTCTTCTTCTTCCCAAACACACATCATTTCTGTCATATTACAGTTCAATCACCAATAATAATATTGGCCACTGGTATCTGCTTCACCTTCCATTCCATCTATCTTAACCAACTATCACTCAACCCCTGCATTGACAGTAGCTTGGCGATGCATTGCTTCATCGTTCTTTAGTAGGGGTGACTAAATTGGTTAACAGATTTGGTTTAGGTTTGACCCAAATCTGATAGACCAGAACCCAACTTGTTTAATAAACGGGTAAAAAAAATTCGAATCAGTACTCGACCCGCCAGCAAGTAGAATGAATTGAACATAATTTGATAACCCGTTTTGATTTAAATTTTATTTAATAATATATTTTATATTAATCAATAAAAATAAAACAATCATACCAACAAATAAAAAATTAAGAAAAAAAAAACTTTAAACGAGTCATTTTTTATCAAAATAAGACTAGCGGGTCAACCTAAGCCTGACCCGTTTAACAAATGGGTCAATGAACATGACACGTTTATTAAATGGGTGAACTCGAACCCAGATTTTCTGGTCGGATTGGCGAGTCGATCATTTTTTGACACCCCTATTCTTTAACGTCATGGTGCAACAAAAAAATATTGAGAGAATTCCAAATCGAACTTTGAAGATATTAGGAAAGAAATGGGCATATTGCATCTATGATTATTAACTTTTTTCTTTTTGTCTTGAACTCAAAATAATTCTTCCATTATTTGCAATCAACTCTTTCTAAAAGAAAATGTAGAACTCTTTAAAGAAATAGGATTGGTATGTATTGTGGATATATATATATATTGTTGCGTCCAGGAGTATTCGCGGCGGTAGAGAAATATTATATTTAACGTCTTAGCATTGTACGAAGATCTGGCACGCAAGCAGATAAGGAGAGAGGGTCTAGCATTTATGAGACACCAATATTTTTACGTGGAAAACCCCTGTAAAAGGGGGAAAAACCACGGGGCCTAGCCCAGTTTGAAACTCTTTTGGTATGTCATTATTTCTTCTAATAGAATTAATTCTTTGTTTTATTCTAATTATCTTGCTTTTTAAATATAACTATTTTCTCCATTAATCCCCCCTCACAAATAATTTTAATTGTTAATTTATTTTTGACATATATTTTATTTTCTTGCATTAAAATTATTTTAAATATTTTGAATAAACCGTTAATACTGATTTAAATCCAGATTTAAAAAAAATATATATTGAGGATAATTTTGAAACCGTTAATTTATATCCCCATTAAAAGAAATTTCTGATAAAAGCTTTCATGATTGAACGATGAACACAATGCGAAGTATTATTTCCTCTTCTGCTAAAGACCAAAAAAAAAAAAAATGAAATTAGATGCTTAACATGTTTCTTTCATGTATAATGTGCCATGTGGGATTACCTGCCCAGGGCCGTCCGATTATGCTCTTCTCATCAGACGGTTCAAAATAATCACTCATCACTGAGTGGTGTCATTCTTCGGTGAGCATACCCCTCACGTGCACTGTTCATGATCATGCACCCATGGAGCCGCGCGAAAGCGCTAAACGACGGAAGGATGCAATTCTGGTGAGTGCACTAAGTGGTCGGTAGGGACGGGCGATAGCGGGAGTGAGGGCTGCGTGGAATCGTATGCCATTTTTTGAGCGTTGTCACTTTTGTCCGCTCTAAAGCTCCGCAGACAGGAGAAGGTAAGGGGAGAAGGAGACCCTTTGCTTTCCATCTCTCAAGAACTACTTCCTCCATCTTTTCCATCCTCTTTTTACCCCGCTTGCACGCACTAATTTGTTGCTCTTGGTTGTATTTTTCTGCAGCTCGCTTGATCTGATTTTTCTTAGAAGGCTTCTCCAATACTGGTAACTGGTTTGTTTTATCTTCCAAGGATTTCGAGTTTGCTCTGCATTTGAGATCTTCCTGCGATTTTTGAACTTTGCGGTGTTTGGTTAGTGTTTGCAATATGGGGTGATAGGTGTATCTTGTCGTGGATCTACTTAATCCCTTGCTTCTTGTTTCTATCTACGCTTTATGGAGAAAAGATTGCTCATTTCTTCAGTTCTATTAAGTATTTTCAGCTATTATGGCGATCAGTTTTTCCCAGTTTTGTTTTTGCTTGAAATAGGTTGATTCTTCAGAATATTCATATCTATAGGCTCTTCAACATAAGATTCTCCATGATCAAGTTACTAGTGCTGTTCATGCCCTTACTGGAGCCCTAAATCACTGTTTCTTTTTTGGTTTTTTTCGCAGTTCTGGTGCCTCAAGGATTTTACTGGACTCCCAAAATGGTTTCAAGGTCGTATTCGAATCTTTTGGATCTTGTTTCCGGTGATTCGCTGACTGTTGGCCGAGTTGGCAGAAGGCTACCTAGAGTAATGACAGTAGCTGGTATCATCTCTGATTTGGATGAGGAAAACTCAAACAGTGTGGTTTCTGATGCCCCATCTTCGGTTTCTCAAGAGCGAGTAATTGTAGTAGGCAATCAGCTCCCTCTTCGAGTTCATCGCAGCCCGGATAGCAGTGGCTGGAACTTTAGCTGGGACGAGGATTCTTTGCTACTTCAACTCAAAGATGGTCTTGGGGAAGATGTTGAAGTTGTGTATATTGGTTGTCTTAGAGAGGAGATTGATTCAAAGGACCAAGATGATGTTTCACAAACCCTTCTTGAGACCTTCAAGTGCGTCCCCACATTTCTGCCCCCTGAACTCTTTAGCAGATTCTATCATGGTTTCTGCAAGCAGCAGCTATGGCCACTGTTTCACTATATGCTACCTCTTTCTCCTGACCTTGGTGGTCGCTTTGATCGCTCACTATGGCAAGCTTATGTTTCTGTGAACAAGATTTTTGCCGATAAGGTTATGGAAGTGATCAACCCTGAAGAAGACTTTGTTTGGGTTCATGACTATCATCTTATGATCTTGCCAACATTCTTGAGAAAAAGGTTTAACCGAGTCAAGCTTGGATTCTTTCTTCACAGCCCCTTCCCTTCCTCTGAGATTTATAGAACTCTTCCTGTTAGAGATGAACTCCTCAGAGCACTTCTCAACTCTGATCTGATTGGATTTCATACCTTTGATTATGCCAGGCATTTTCTTTCATGTTGTACCCGAATGCTAGGTCTTTCTTATCAATCTAAGAGGGGTCATGTTGGGATCGAGTATTATGGTCGCACAGTTAGCATTAAAATACTTCCTGTTGGGGTTCACCTGAGGCAGCTTCAATCTATACTAGATCTTCCAGAGACTGAAGCTAAAGTTGCTGAACTGCTCAACCAGTTTAAGGGCCGGACTGTGTTACTTGGAGTTGATGATATGGACATATTTAAAGGGATCAGCTTGAAGCTTCTGGCAATGGAACAGTTTCTTGTGCAGCATCCGGAGTGGGGTGGAAAGGTTGTTTTGGTGCAGATTGCAAACCCAGCCAGAGGCCGAGGACGAGATGTTCAGGAGGTGCAAACAGAGACATATTTAACAGCTAAGAGAATTAATGACACATTTGGAAGGCCAGGCTATGAACCTGTCGTTCTCATCGATAGCTCGCTCCAGCTCTATGAGAGAATTGCTTATTATGTTGTAGCTGAGTGCTGTCTTGTTACTGCAGTAAGGGATGGCATGAATCTCATCCCTTATGAATATGTTATTTGTAGACAAGGAAATGAGAGATTGGATAAACTGTTGCAGCTCGATGCATCAGAGCCCAAAAGGAGTATGTTAGTTGTCTCGGAGTTCATTGGGTGTTCGCCATCACTTAGCGGAGCTATTCGTGTCAACCCTTGGAATGTAGATTCGGTGGCCGAAGCCATGGATACCGCATTGGCAATGAGTTATAATGAGAAACAGCTTCGCCACGAGAAACATTATCGATATGTGAGTACTCATGATGTTGGTTATTGGGCTAATAGCTTCTTGCAGGACTTGGGGCGGACGTGCCGGGACCATGGTAGGAGGAGGTGCTGGGGAATTGGCTTTGGTTTGGGCTTCAGGGTCATTGCACTTGACCCCAATTTCAGAAAACTCTCTGTTGAGCACATTGTTTCAGCATACAAAAGAACCAAAAACCGAGCTATCCTTTTAGATTATGATGGAACCATGATGCCTCAAACATCTATCAACAAGAAGCCTACTCCTGAAGTTATAAGCATCCTCAATAGCTTGTGTAGGGATCCGGACAACTTGGTATTTCTTGTTAGTGGTAAGGACAAGGATACTCTCAGTGAATGGTTTTCACCTTGCAGCAAACTTGCACTTGGGGCTGAACATGGCTTCTTTATGAGGTAAACTCATTTTAGAGTATTATTTTTCTTCAGTATTGATTGATTACAAATTATAAAACCTCCTAATTCCTATTTATTTGATGGAAACTCTTAAAAATCTTTGAGCTAAAGGTTTTGTTTGGGACGTCTTTCTTATTGCTTCTTAAAGCAGCTTTTTAGTACAAAAATTAAAATTTTTTTACTAGAAAGCTGCTTTAAGAAGGCCAAAGTTTGACCAAAATGATGCTTAACTTAAAGTTTGTGCGTCAGTTTTGCTTTTAATTGTTGATTTTCCCAGGCAAAATCAAGAGTTGGAATGGGAGACTCGTGTACCCGTGCCAGATTTTGACTGGAAGCAGATTGCTGAACCTGTCATGCAATTATACACTGAAACAACTGATGGATCGAGCATAGAAGCTAAAGAAAGCGCCCTTGTTTGGCACTATCAATATGCAGATCCTGATTTTGGATCCTGCCAGGCCAAAGAACTTCTGGACCACCTGGAAAGTGTTCTATCAAATGAGCCTGTTTCTGTGAAGAGCGGGCAACACTTTGTAGAAGTTAAACCACAGGTCAGTTTAGATGCTCTACCTTGCAATTGTGAATTCTCATCTCTTTACTTGATATCATGCACAATTCTATTCAATGCAGGGTGTCACAAAAGGCTTAGTTGCCGAGTGCCTTCTATCGATGATGCAAGAAAAGACCAAGCTTCCAGATTTTGTTGTTTGCATCGGCGACGATAGATCGGATGACGATATGTTCGAGGTCATCAATAGTGCGAGGGCTGGTTCCGCCTTGTCTCCGGTCGCCGAAGTGTTCGCTTGCACCGTCGGGCAAAAGCCCAGCAAAGCCAAGTATTATCTGGAGGATACAACAGAGATTGTGAGAATGTTGCAGGGCCTTGCAATGGCCTCTGATCAAATGTCACTTGTTTCAGCTTCTCAGACTCTCAGTATTTTCTATGGCAACTAATGGTGTTACTGTTACGTGCTTCCTTATGGGTCTCTTTCTTGATGGTATTGGTTTCTGATCATTTGTGATGGGTTTCTTTGGTGTATATATATCTGATAAAAGGTAATATATTTAAGTGATCTTACATTTCAGCTAGTGATATTTTGTAATTGGGTTTTGCTGTTGTGAATTGTGATGCTAGACTGCTTAGTTTTCTCTATTTTAATTGCTTGGGAATGCCCTGTGTTGTTGTTCTGATGGTGCCATTGAGTTTCTTTCTATCACGTTTTCTTCTTTTTTGGATGCGGAAGCTGCTCTTGGTTGTGATTGCCTATGTGAAGTACACGTTGAAGAATATGATTTTATTTATTTATTTATTTTGCTTCATTTAGCGTATTATTATTTTTATTCCTTGCAGCTTTTGCTCCATTTAAGCTTCATTTGGGACAGCTTTTTTGTTGTTTTATAAAACTGTTTTTTAGTATAAAAAATTCTAATTCAAGAAATTTTTATATTAAAAAGCTGTTCTAAAAAACAACAAAGAATTTTACCTTGCACACACTTCTTAGGTCCCATACAATTGCATAAAGACAAGATTAAAAAGGCTTATTAAATGATGCGCGCCGGTTAAGTACGAATATTAGTAAACTTAATATAAATTAATGCGCTTAAACCTGGATTAGTAGAGAAAAAGAACTCCCTATCACTGATCACAGTTTTATTTTATTTTTTAAAGTTAAGAAGCTTGCAAACAACGCCAAAGATTTCTATCAACTAAATTGATTGATACAATCGCATAAAATAGCATTTCTTAGGGTCCATTTAGGCTATCTTCTATTCCAAGTAATTGAAAGATAGGAAGGGAAAATAAAAAAGTAAAATGAGCTAAAATTAATTTTCACTCGCTTATTTGGTTAACCCGAAGGTAATTTATGCACACAATCATTTTATACAAACATTCAAATTCATGTCTTTTAGTATTTGAAACTCTCAATCATTATACTAAGATGAGCAAAATTACAATTCGAGTCCAGTCAACACGTAGCTCATCTTGATATGTTGGTTGGAGTTTTAGCTACTAATTAAGAGATCTTATGTTCGAAGCTTGCGTATGTAATGTGTGTATGAATTTGATTTAAAACTTCGTTTGGGGCGATTTTTTATTTCTTCTGAAAATAGTTTTCTAGTTTAAAAATTTAAATTTTTATAGTAAAAAGTTGCTTTAAGAAGTAGTTAAAAAGTCATCCCTTAGGTTTCGTTTGGAACGGCTTACTTACTGCTTCTTAAAACAGCTTTTTAGCATAAAAATTTTAATTTTTATACTAGAAAGCTGTTTTAAGAAGCATTAAGAAAGCCGTACCAAACAAAGCCTTAATTGACTATCAAGTGTATGAATTTGACTTTTTTGAAAGTTGATATAGAAAGTAGCTGTCTAGCACAAAAAATACTGAAAATAGTGAAATATAAAAATAAAGGAAAATTTATTAACTTTTCATCAAATCCCTGCCAAACATACCGAGCATTATGGTTTGAAGGAATTAGAGGAAATGCGAACGCATTAATTACTTTATAATTAAATATTGATGCTTTATTTAAATGAATTTAGTCAAATAATTATATTAACCTAATGAATTATAATAAATGCTTTTCCTATTAGCAGCTACAATGTAATACTAATAAAAAAAATGAGTGATCTATATTTTGACCTGCTTGTACCTTCTGAGGAGAAAAAGCAAAGCTATATTTATGATACATATTTTCCAAAAAAAAAAATCTATGATACATTAAATAAATCTCTTCATATACGTACAGGTGAGGAATGACAGCTCAATTCAACTCCCCAACCATCTTGTTTGGTTCGAAAATAACGTCTAATAAATTGAATTAAACACAACAACAATGCTATTCATATTTCCGTTGCACTTTCTTTCATTGGGTCATTGGGTGTAAGCAAAGAATCTTAAATAGAGATGTTCTTAAATTCTTTTTCTTAATGAAGAAAATTTCATATAAAGTACAATCAAATCAAATAAATTGAAAGAATCTAATGAGTCTAACTTAAACTGATTTTGAGGTCATGCTAATAAATTTTAAGAGATTGGTCTGTGATTGAGGGAATATGTTCCATGAAATGGTTTAGGAATATTAGCTAAAATTATCGAAGTGTCACTTAAGAAAAGTATAAATAGACATTCTTTAAATAAAAAGGGGCTTGAGAGCATAGTTATTGACTTAAAATTAGATAGAACTTGAAAATTTGAAAAACTCTAGGACTCCGCTTGATATGATCATCGCTAACAACTGTTGCACCAAGCTATTGTTGCTCAACCACCATTGTCCAATCACTGTTGACGACTATGATCTTCTCGGCTTTTATTGCATGACTACATCTCCCATTGTTTTTGTTGCCAACAATATTGTGACATGTCACTGCTTGTATGATTGATGCATACCATCAATACAAACATATGTTCTCACTAACTTTGTCATCCCAATGACGTACATCATTGCCTTTAGGATTATTTCATGCCATTAACACAAACATAATGATAGGGGTGTCAATATTTGATATGACCCGAAAATCCGACTTAAACCCGACCCGAAAATTTCGAGTTAGGGTCAACCCGAACTCGAAATGGGTTAGGTTCAAGTTCAATAATTCAACTCGTTTCAAAAATAGGGTTTGATTCGGGTTGATCATTTGATCCGAAATTGACCTAAAACTGGCCCGTTTTTTACCTGAAAACCCATTTTGACCCGACAACCCGATATTGACCAGTTTTGACCTGATAACCCATATTGACCAGTTTTGACCTGAAAAGAGGAGATTGACCCTTTTTGGACCCAAAAACTAGCATTTTTGTTGGCACTGGGTCATTCAGATCGTATTGGGTTGACCAGGACCCGAAGTGGGTCGGGTTCTGGTCCGAAAAACTGACCCGCTTTCAAAAAACGTGTCAGGTACGAGTTGATCTGAATAGTGCCATGTCAGTTTCGAGTTTGACCCGAACCCGACCCGTGACCCGAATTGTTGTATGACATAGCTAATGATGTTTATGCACAATATTACTTACAAGGCCAATCCTCACATCAACATTAATGCATACATTTGCCAATTTCATCAATTGTTGTCGCTAACAGTGTTGTTGCATGTCATTATCTATGTGCACACCATTTACACAAAAAGTGAGCTCTACTAATTTTTCACCCATCTTCCCCACCATTAATTCCAATTCAAGTTATCGCTTATCAAGTCAATCCATGTCGTTGATGCAAATGTTGAAGATCACGGACTTCGTCGCCTACCATCTCAACAATGTAGGTGCAAGCTATCACCTATAAGGCCAACACACTCCATCGATATATGACGGAGAAGATAAGGGGGAGTAAACACCACAATGATAAAACAATCAAGAAAGTAAAATCAACGAAAAAGTTAACGACACTAGGATTTAACATGGAAAACCTTAAAATAGGGGAAAAATCATGGAGACACACCACACCAACAAATCCACTATGAAATTTATGAGAAATAAGTACAAATCTCTCTTCTCTCTCACTCTCTCATTACTTCTCTTATCACATCCACCATTCTCAATGTCTACATACTCAAAATACAAGAGAAAGCTAAGTAAAAGAACCCCAAGGAACACAACCCTTCAGAAAAATGAGAAAGAAAGCTAAAAGTCTATCTCGCAGCACTGTGACACTAGTTTGGGGCGCTGTGAAGCTCAAGACTTTGTCTTGCACTACTGCAATGCCATATCTATACAATTTTGCTTGAGAACACAACGTCGAGGCACTCGGGTATGCAATGAAGGCTGTTGTACTGAAAAAAAAATATTTTCGAGTGCAAGGCACCCGAACCCCAAGCAAGGGGTAAACCCCTTACTCCCCCAACGAACACAACAAACTTTAAGGTCCAAGAAAACATAATAACCAGATTGATCAACAAAATCAAATTCCACACATAACAATATAAACACCGATGCCCATTATTGGCACCAAGCTGTCAACGCCCACCTACTTTGTTGCAACTCAAGTTCACGAGTTTATGATTTTGATGATAACAAATATTGTGGCTCACATCCTTATGTCTAATTATATTAGCAATATATATTTGTTAGCGTGTGCACTAATATTTCAGGAAGGTCATGCACCATCCAACGAAGATTCAAGGCTCAAGATTAGGTAGAATAGGTTATGCTATAAAGATTTTTGAAATATTCATTGATGTATTTTTTTATTTCTTGAGTCATATTCTGTAAGGATGTATGCTAGCTTGATGATCATGCACACACACACTTAAGGGGAGTGAGATTGAGTAAAAATCAGATGTTTAAATTTTGAACTAATCATATTGTACGATTTATATTGTATTGTACAATCAACTTATTTAACTAATCGTACTAGACAATTTAGATCATCCATGATTATTAGTTTTTAGGGTTTTTGAAGCCCTATGTTTAAGCTTTCTCCAAGGATATTGTAAGTGTCTTTGGCATGCATTGAGTCTTCATTCTTTTGAAGAAAACTTGAAGAGAGGGTGAAAGGGTGGAGCTTGAGAGGGAGAAGATCCTTGTGGGGTTCAAGGGAGTGTGGGTGGGGTTTCATATTGTTGTTTGGCAAGTTTGCATCTTAATACCATTGGATTCAAGGTTTGTCTTGAAGAAAATTTTGGAAATAAGAAGAACTCTTTGGTGTCAAAGGACTCGACTACTCCACCTTACAGGGAAGGTGAAAGTGATTCTAGGTTCTCTTCCTCACCATGAGGGTGAAAAGAAGTCAAAGTTTTCTGCCTCACTAGGAGGGTTAAAAGGAGTCATGTTTCTCTGTCTGTGAAAGGAGTATGATCCTATGCTACACCGGGTTGGTGGAAAGATTTTATAAGGGCTTCTCCGTCTAGCTGTGAGGCTAAATGAGAGTCACTAAAAAGTTTAGTGCAATACTTGGAATGGGAGGTTCTGGGGAGTGGACGTAGGTCAGGTTGACCGAACCACTATAAATCTCTAGTGTGTTTGTTCTTGGTTTTATTTTTTCACACTTTATTTTTCGCATTTGTTTCTGTGTTAATTGTGTGGGTTGAAATCTCTGATTATCTGTTATTGAGAAATCACTTTTCTTCTGCATCAAAAGATAAAACTATCAGTTTTCAGATGTTGAAAAAGCTTAAAAAAGATGAACTTTTCTTTGTGTTTAAAGAAGTTTTTTAAATCATCAATTCATTCCCTCTTGGTTAGCCTCGAGACTAATTC